AATTTTTCAAAAACAAAATCGAAAGGCGACATATAAAAAAGCACGCAAAGAAGAAATGTCTGGCAACACCAGCAAAGCTTTGAGACGATTTTGCGACGACTGCTAGAAAGGGGTGCTCACAGTTTGATGCTAAAGATGTCTCAAAATGTAGACGTCTACATTTTCAGACACAATTTGGAACGAACTGTGAACACCCCAAATTAAAATGTAAACAAAGAAAAGCTGTTTCACTATAGAGAAACTTCGCCGCAACTGGCAAATAAAACGAGCTTTTCGCTTGTCATCATTGACTGTGCATACTTATGACAACAGTTGATGATACGATAATGGCATTTGAACTGTGACAATTGACGACTGTGACAACACGCGAATAGGGCTGTCAGCAAGGCGAATTTATACAAGGTGGTGTTGATGGCGAATTTAGATTTTCGCCGCGGTAAACAAGGCGAATTCATATTACAACAAACACACTATTTTGACATTAAAAAGTACCGCGGCGAGAATCTAAATTCGCCATCAACACCACCTTGTATAAATTCGCCTTGGCTGTAAGGACCACGGCGAAAATCTAAATTCGCCAAACACCACCTTGATAAATTCGCCTTTATTTACCTTCCTTTTATTAGCTCGGGATGTAACTATGTAATATTAGGAGCGTTCCTTATCTCCCAGAAATAGTCAGAAAAAGTCCGAAGTAGTCAGATTTAGTCCAAAAAGCGTTCCTTAACTCGGAAATGACAGCTAAAATGAGAGAGCAACACCCAGTGAGAGTGACTCTCATCAGTCCGAAGTAGTCAGATTTAGTCAGAAGAATTTTTTCTGGCAAAATCCTGAAAAGTGTCAAACTCAACTAAATTTAAATTAACGGAAATTAAAGAATATGCAAAAAGTGAGAATAATCTAAAAAGTAAAAAAAAGTGAATTGAAATTGGAAGGAGGCAAAAAATAATTGATATAGTAAGTGTTTATTGTGCTTGTGCTTGTGTGAATGTGTTTTGTACATACATTTCCATTCTTATTTGACGTTAGCTTTGTTGTTGCCATTCTTTGGACTAAAAATTTGGTTTTTTGCGTTCCTTTACTTTTCCTGTTATTCTCTTTTAGTGAGCGCATTTTGCTTACGCTCTGGCATTTTGACACTTTTCAGATTTTAGTCCAAAAAGATAAGGAATGAACCTATTGATTCGCCTAAAAGATGTAAATTCGCCTTGGTTGGGCGATTTTGAATTAGCCGTTTGTTTACATTTGTTCGTTTTTTACAATTTGGAGGTGGCTTTTAACTGCGATTTTCTTCATTTTCGCTTGTGACAACGTGTGTACTTATAAGGTTAAGAATAATTTAAAACGACATGATTTATAGAAGAATTTTCGTAATAAAAATGATTATTCATGCGTTCAACAATTGCGCGGCTTTCTGTGTTCTCTTCGTTGTTTACTTCGTACAACAAAGATGGCGTCGAGATTTCGACAGCTAGAAAATAACTTTTTTCTTTCTTTCGTTCGCGCGTGATCTTGTGTCTTTAGTTCATGGAAGCAAACACATCCACCTTTGGCTTACAATTGGATTCGCCAGCTCAGCATGAAGAAGACTACCTTAATTAAAAAAAAAAAATTATATATGTTTGTTTAATTTTTTTTGCTGACACAAGCAAACACAACAACCAACACAAAGCAAAAAGATGACCAACTCTCAACTTTTCACGTGCGTCGCTCGTCAACTGTTGCAAATAAATAAAATTATGTGAAACATTTTTCCTTTTTAATCAAGTACGGACGAGAAATTTCGTTTTTAAAGCAATTATTGATAAAAATATTAATTTATCTGTCGTCAGTATGTTCATTTAGTTGCCCAAGCATTCGCTGCCAAGCGTTCATTGTAGCAAGCATACTTTAATCGTGCGTTCTTTCAAACCAACGCCAAAGCCAACGCGAAAGTTCTATGTGGGCCGGTCTTAAGTGCACATACACAGCATTTATACGCTGGTCACGTTAATAAAACCTCACTCATACTAATAGGTTTTCGGTAGTGGAATCTCTATTGAAGCTTGAAATTGCGGAGCTCAAACAAGAGGTAAGAAGCTTGAAATAAGAAAAAAAAAGCTTTGACGAATACATTAGAAGAAGCGAACGCGGTGCTGGATAATTTCAAATAAAATTCCACCGAAGGCCAAATGCGTAAAACGTTTATCCCAGGTAGGTACATGTCTTTTTTATGTTTTTTTTTATATCAAAGTGATATCACAATTGCTCTATCTTATCCCGAAAAGTGATGTGGTCTCGAAAGGACATTTCCCGCACTTTATGCTTACACGCAGCCGGGCCGCATGCATATCATCATTTATATGACAAGCGATTTCCGCGTCCCTACGTGTCTGGTGTCGTAAGAGCGATATAAGTGAGGGTCTGCGTCAATAGAGTGTATGAAATACAAGTCAGAGCTTTGCGATGATGACAAAATATGTGTTCTTTCTTTCGACGAAATGAAAGTCGTCGAATCATAGGAATATGACCAGGCAGGAGACTACGTCCGAAAGTCCGCAAACTATGTTCAAATGGTAATGGCGCGTGGGTTACGGAAATGCTGGAAGCAGGTTTTAGACTTTGATTGCTAAATGACACAGGAATATTTGTTTTCCATCATTTTGGTAAATCAAAATGTAGGTTTCACAGTGGTGGCTGTAGTATGCGATATGGGTCCCACCAATCGCAAGCTTTGGAAGACTTTGGAGATCACAGTAGGTACGAATAATATTATTGCCTTTGTTATTTTTATAACATATAGAGAGTATGTTTCAACTATTCAAAATAATATTTAACTTCTGGTATTGTTTTCAGATAAGCCATGGTTTCCACACCCCGTGAAAGAGAACGCCAAAATTTTAGCATTTGCCGACGCGCCACACTTCCTTAAATTGGTAAGAAACAACTTTTTGGATACAGGTTTGTGGTGGAAGCGTCATTGGTTGTCAATAAAGACCATTACCGATTTACTGCGGCACACCTCGAAATCGGACGCGTCAATTACATTTAATTAACTGATGAACATATTTCGGTAAGGGAGCAGGTAGGGAAATATACTCATTAATATTAATTCATGAAATCTAAACAAAATTTTAGCTCGCCAAAAAGTGAAACTGTCAGCGCAGTTATTTTCCAATACCACCACCAAAGCAATTAGGCGCTGTTACTCATTAGGTTTTGAGTTATGTAAGCCTACTGAAATTAAATTCTTTGTTGAAACCTACAGTTAGAGTTTTAGTAATTAAACTTTTAATTATTAATTTTTCACTAAGGAACCATTTGGAACGGCCCTTTCGAACCAACGGGTAAACGAGTACATGTCGATGCCCATGATTAAAAAAAAAAGTGCTGGAGCATTTACGGAAAGGCTTTGTTATGTCAAATAATGCATTAGTAAAGCTTTTTGAGTACGTACGGCTTAATTCAAATGTGGAATTCATTGTTACCTACAAGCTGAATCAGGATACACTGGAGCATTTTTTTGGCGGTATTCGCAGCAAAGGTGGACTTAATGACCATCCCAGTCAAAAGGAGTTCATATATTGACTGCGAAAGTACATCATAGGTATAATTGTTGATAAATTAATAAATTCATAAACGCAGTAATTTCCTTAATTTTTGTGGCACGTAATACTGAATGCTTGCAAGGCAGAGGCAATGTCTCAGCAGACAGCATAATTTGCCCATAATCAAGAATGATAGAATACAAGATTGCGCCAATCGAGCTGAGAGCAACTGGCCGTGACGTCCGAAAATACCAGAATGAGAGAGCAAAGACGAATTCAATAAGAAAAAGAAGAAGAATCGAACAGCTGGGGCGAAATTGAAAGGTTTGTTTACAAAGTGCATAATAAATCGCGGATTTACGGAATTATTTAATTTTAAATGGTAAATTGGTTGTTTAAAAGTAAAGAATGTGTACTTATTAAATGCAGTGCAAATCGCTGAAAGTGTTAAATCACTGCAATCATTATAATGATTTGCATTTTTTCAGTAATTGAACAAATACCAGCGGGCAGCCAGCGGGTCAGTTGCTGGTAACAATTTGCAGAACGATTCCACGGTGATCGTTGCATCGTCGTCAGTTAGTGAAATCAGTAATGCAGCTTTTAAAATAAAGGAAAACCTCCTACTCCGCTATACATATAATTACTTTCATTATTTAGCTACTTTTCCGGCAGCCGCAACAAACGCTGGCCCAAGCCTGCAAATTGTTGCCAGCAACTGGAACGCTGGCTGCCCACTGGCATTTGTTCAACTACTTAAAAATTCACTTTGTAAACAAACCTTCACACACATCAAACCACATCAAGCGGCTCATCTGGATGAAATGAAAAGGCTGTTAGATGTAATGCAGCAACGTGCTCCCGATGTTGAACATCAGTTCAAAGAAAAGCCAAATGAGTTGGAAATGTCGGATAAGGCCAATGTAAACCAAGGCGGCAATCGTATAGAGACCTTGACGTAGACGCAATTTATGTACGAGGAACAGATTAGAGACTTACAAGTAAGTTAGAAGTAGGAAGTGCATTTGAAGATGTTTACATTATTATGTTTACGCATTTCTTACAGTCCATGGTGCAGGAATTTATGATGGTCACAAAATATATTGGCAAAAACATAGGAAGTGCATATGCCAAGTTGGAAAAATTGACAATGCGTGAGTATAAAATGAAAAGGTGTTCTTAATTATAAATATTACTTTACCTTTTCTTTTGCAGTGGCCAAAAAGAAGAGTCTTTTTGATGATCGACCGCAAGAGATTCATGAATTGACCTACATCATGGTGTATGCGTTACAATCTAAATTAGCCAGCATGGGCACCGACTTCAAACCGTTGTATACTGTCGTACTGTTGTATATCAGAAACTTTAAACGTCTAAAGCTATATATAAGGAATTCGCAAGCTAACATAAAAGTTTTATTATGAAATTTCACACAATTAAAAAATAGTTGGTGGTGATTTATGCAACCTCACAAACGCGGTTTTTCATTACCATGATACGCGGTTTTGCATTTTGTTGATACGCGGTTTTGTACTTTAAACGACGACTTGCAAAGGGCGCTATGTAAAATTTGTTCGATTTTTAGTTTTTGATGGATTACGTACCAGTATTTAAAGTAGTTTCATGTCCAGTAACAACAGAGTGCAAAATCTTTTTATATTAGCATCAAATGTTAAGTCTTCTTCCAAAAGTCGCTATCATACTTATTTATAAACTTTCAAAAGTATCTATCTTCTGATGAACTTAGAGAACTGCTTTAGGTCGTATAGACTGTTAATGTTATCTTATGACATGTTATGTTACGTTACAATTTTTTAAGGCTCTTTTTTATCCAAATTTTTAGGTAATAAAAAAGATTAAATTTAAATGTTACTTGTTGTCGTAGTCGTTTTTTCAAATTTATGGCTTTCTATTATAACATCACATAACGCTGTTTGCAAGTGGACTACTCATATGTACATTTATATGTACACACAGAACATTCTTGCCCTGAAAAATAATTTTTTTACTTTAATATCGCAATGGATATTCGAGGCTTGCTCAATGTGTTT